AAGTCCCCCCCCCCCCCCCCCCCTCCGGTGTTTGCCATCGGGGTTGGGTTTTCGTCGCTTGGCAACGACGTTGTAAAACAAGCCGCCCCCCCCGGTGTTTGCCATCGGGATTGGGTTTTCGTCGCTTGGCAACGACGTTGTAAAACAAGCCGCCCCCCCCGGTGTTTGCCATCGGGATTGGGTTTTCGTCGCTTGGCAACGACGTTGTAAAACAAGCCGCCCCCCCCGGTGTTTGCCATCGGGATTGGGTTTTCGTCGCTTGGCAACGACGTTGTAAAACAAGCCCCCCCCTCGGTGTTTGCCATCGGGATTGGGTTTTCGTCACTTGGCAACGACGTTGTAAAAGAAGCCAATTCACTTCGTGAACTCGGCAACCAGGTTACCGTTTTTTTTTTTTACCTCTGTTTTTTTTTTTGGCGGTAACCATAATGGTGGTCAAGTAGATCATGTTGTGCGGGGTGGAGAAACCTCACTCCGCGCAAGGGGGATGATCGCACCACGTTGTGTTAAAATGGTCAAGCTTCCTCGAGGCAGTTACACAGTGCTTACAACTGTCTCTGGAAGTGAACGCACCAGAAAATAAATTTACGCAGCTGTCATCCGTACGCAAGGAAGTAAGCACAAGGTGCCGAACACCCTGAGCAGGATGCAGCTCACCCTTCACGCGACTCGCCGAATACCTCACGGCGCTTCGCGCTTGGTGATGTGAGAGCCTGGTCCGGTGAGAACCCGGCGTGCTCCGTCCCGGCTTTGTAGGGATGCGAGGTCAATGGCGGCGTGCTCCGTCCCGGCTTTGTAGGGATGCGAGGTCAATGGTCTAACGACTACGGCATGCACGACTATGAGTACCCCCCCACCCCTCCTCCTCCACGGAGGTGTAGTGATCCATGCGCCGAATGCCTCACGGGGAAGGAAGGGTGCATTGGCCTGTGAACATTGTTTGGGGAGGAGGCAAACCTACCTCTAACAGTTCTGCTATTGCGCTCGCTCTGCCGTTTCTCGCCCCCTTCTCCCTCGTCTTGCCCGTGTATTTTTTTTTTGTTCTCGGACGGCTGTTTTTTTTTTTATCACAGCTGGGTGCCGTAGACGCCACCCAGGCCACAAACCTTGCCCAGAAGTACGGCGTCCAGGGTTACCCCACCATCAAGGCGTTCCCCGCCGGGCCGAAGAAGAAGGCCCAGGACTACAACGGGCCCAGGGAGGCTGCGGGGATCGTCGACTACGCGACAGGGGTGAGAATGGCGGCTGTGTTGGGGTGGAATCAGTAACCCTGGCGGGGATATTAAATTGGTCTTTGTAGGGGGTACGGGTTGGGGTTGAGGGTTAGGGTTAGGGAGACGAAGCGCTCCTCTCTCTAGAAAGTCATGGTAGAGTTGAGCAGTAAAATCCCTCGCGCAGGCGGTCCATAGGGGGAGCGCGTGTCGGGGCTTGGGGGCCGCGCGTGTTGGTTTCGCGGCTGTGTGAGGCCTTGGGGGCTCTCAACGGGTTCGGTTCTTGACGTGATTTTTGCTGTTTCAGACGTGTTCTCAAGTCACGTGTGTATCAGTACGCGTTTGGGGTTAAAAACTAACTAGCCACCAGGGAGATAGATAGAGCAGGGAGCGCTCCCCCGTCCTCTCTTTTTCAGCGAAACCGAAAAAGAGACGTTGCTGCCTTGTGTTCTTATGGATGTTTTCAACGTGCTGTTATATAACAGATGCTGGAACGGTCCGGGTGGGTCCCGAAGACGCCGCAGCTGACGGAGAAGGGCGTGATCGACGAAAAGTGCGGCGGGACCAAGATTTGCGTCATCGCCGCCCTGCCGCACATCCTCGACTCGGGCAAGGCTGGAAGGTTGGTTTGTCCGGTTGCCGGGGAGTGCTGCGTACCGCTGCCGCACCGTCCCGCGTCAAAATAGCGCACTCTCAGAAGCAATTTCCGTCGAAGCTATGTGCTGATGCTCACCCGAGAGTGGTTGTAGGCGCGGAGATTGCCAGATGGCGTTGTCGCGGTCGTCGTCCTTTCTTGGAGGCACTCTGAAGGTGCCACCGGGCACACCACCTTCGAACACGTGTAACATGCAGTGTATCATACGAAACATCGATAACGCAGGGCGTTTGAGCCAAGCGCGCAGCGTCTTTTTCACGCACATGACGCACGAGAGCCTCGCTCTGCCCCAACCTCCCTCTAGCCATTCGTTAATTTATTTATTTTTCACTTTTGTGTGTCTTTACATCCACACTCCCCTATGTTTCCCACTGGTATTGTTGTGTTGTTTCGTACGTTGACTCCACCTCCGTCGCTTCTTTCCCCCCCCACGAAACAGGGAAGGGTACATCGAGACTGTAAGGGGGGCGGCCAAGAAGTCAAGGAACCCGTACCTCAGCCTTATGTGGACCGAGGGCGGTGCCCAGCCCGCGCTGGAGGAGGCGACGGGGCTCACCTTCGGCTACCCGGCCGTCATCGCCATCAGCGTCGAGAAAAAGGCACGCATGCACGTTTTTTTTTTTTGGCATACGCGTGCCCCGTCTATTGGTTGCCCGTGTCGCGCAAGAGAGAGTGTTCATGCTTTGGGGTGCCGTGTTTCGTGTAAACACCGGGCGTACGATGAACTCCAACTGCGTACCTCCCCCCGGCCGTCGCAAGCCGTCGTAAGAAAGAAGGGGCCCTTTTTGCGAGTCAGGGTCGAAAGGATAAGGAAGAGAGACAGGGGTTGTTGTTGTTGTTGTTGTCTTGGTCTACTATTTTTAGTTTGGTTTTAGTGCCCGGTACTACTACTGGCCTGTGAGTTTCGCGATATCTCTCTTTGTTTTATTTGTCGTGGCCTTGTTGTGTGCCTCGTTCACGAGCGCCGGGGTGCAAACGAATGTGCGGTTGGAAGGCTAGCCCGGTCGGGCATGACGGTGGTCACAAGACTGTTGGCGGTGATGGCCGAACGCTTGTGCTTGATGACGGGAGGCCGTTTCGTGTGGCACCGTCGTTGTCACCGGACGTGGCACACCTTCGCCCAGAGGACACGGTGCGACGAAGGGAAAGGGGGCATGGCACGAAAAAATATATATATATTTTTGTCACCACCACCACCGTGCGTGCGCTGTGTACCCGCACCTCTCGCCCATTCCCGACCTCGAAACGCTAAACCTGTCCCTTCCTCCGCCTGGTGTATCCATCACCCGCTTTGCGATCTGCGCTACTGCTGTGTGGTTGCTGCCTGCGGTACCGCGCCGCTACGCTACGCTACGCCACGTCACGCCACGCCACGCCACGCCTCAGGCGTTTGCGGTGCACGTGGGATCGTTCAGCGTAGACGGCATGTCCGAGTTCCTCGGCGGCCTCACCACCGGCTCCACGCGCACCAAGCCGCTGGCGGAGTTACCAAAGATCTTGACTGTTGAGGTGAGAAAAGAGGGGGGTGGAGAGACGTAGAGGGAAATGAGCCTGCAAACCGCAGCTCTCGTTGAGGACGACTCAAGGTGCTGACACACTTTGTTATCCCGCGGAGAGGTTTGTTCTTGTGCGGGGGGCCAGGGGGCTGCCGGTGGGTTGAGGTGCGAAAACAAGCTCTGGAGCAACGGGTCGGTTTGACAAGCGGGCTGTGTGTGGGCTTAGCAAGGCCAGGTTTCCTTGCGTGTTGCGCGCGCGACGCCGGTTTTTTATGGGATTACGGGACCTTCCAGATCACGGGAGCCCGAACGAGCCAAGCTTTTCGGGCTTTTTTATCTTGTCCCTCTCCTCGATCTGCGGTCGTTATTCCGTCTGTCAACTCACCCGAGGGGGGCATCGACCCACACCCGAGAGATCGAGGAGGCGGCGCTGTTGTTTGGAGGGGAAGATCCCATGCGTTGGGTGTCTGTCCTTCTTCAGCTAAAGCGCAAGACCCGATATTCTCTTATTAGTACTTACGCACACCACCAAAATATAGTTTACCGTTCTGCTGCTGTACCCGCCCGCACTGTCGTGATT